TGTCGACCTCGCGGACTCGCCGAAGCTGCGCTTCGTCCTCGGCCTCCTGCGCGGCCTCCTCGCGGCCTCCGCGGAGGAGAAGGTCGTCGTCTTCTCCCACTACGCCCGGCATTTGGACTTCCTTCGCGAGGTCTGGGGCCGCGAGGGAGGGCCGGAGCCCGGGGTCCTCACCGGGGCCACCGCCCAGGCGGAGCGCCGCGCCCTGCTCGACCGCTTCGCGCACGACCCCGCGGCCCGCGTGTTGTTCGCCACCGTCGGCGTCGGCGGCCTCGGGATCGACCTTTCCAGGGCCAATCACGGCGTTCTGCTCGACGTGGGGTGGGATCCGACGGCGGACAGCCAGGCGGGCTGCCGGATTTACCGCCTCGGGCAGACCCGGCCGGTCCAACTTCACCGCCTCGCGACCTTCGGGACCGCCGAGCACGTCGTCTTCGCCTACGCCTTGCAGAAGGCGTGGGTGCATCGCAAAGTCGCCGACCTGCGGGACCCCGCGCGCCGCGAGCGGCACTCCCGCGAGGGCTATTTCGTCTACCCCTGCCCGTTGCCCCTCCCGGGCGATGGGGCCCCGGCGCCGGCCCGCGAATTCCCCGCGAACGGGGGGGAAGTGGGGAAAACGGGGAGTCCGGCCCTCCCGAGGGGCCCCCAGAGCCCAATTGGGGGGAAATATGGGCCCGGGAGTGCCCGTACGCGGCCCAGGCCCTCAAGGGCCACGAGGCGGACCTCCACGCCGTCCTCCCCCACCACCTTTTCCTCCCCGAGAACGCGGCGGAGGCGGTGCGGGAGGTCGGAAACGAACCACCCTTGGTCAGGCAGGAGTCCCCTTCCCACTTCCCGATCCCGCTAATCCACTTCGAGGACGAGGACGCGCTTCTGCAGGGCGGGCCTGGGAATAGCCCCCACGGCGCCGATCACGGGGAGCGTTGGGAAAAGAAATTGGTCAAAATGGCAAAGCGCGCCGCCCAACACGCGGTGTGGTGGGTCCGACGGCAGCACCGCTGGAAGGACGACGACAGGAAAGAACCCAAAGCCGAAAAGAACGAGGAGAAGGAAATGATAACCCTACACGCGCGGCTCACGTGCGCGCTGCTTCCGTTTTTGGACCCTTCCCCCACCCGCGAGACGCGATCGCTGGTGGGGGAATTACTGGAAATGTACCAAAAGGGCGTCCAAAACGCGCTGAACCGGCAGCTCCGCACCGGCCCCTATCTTCGAATGCGCACCTACCTCGCCGGTCTCGTCCCGCCAACCGAGCGAAGCCAACACTCGACGATGGCGAAAGGATTGTTGGAGGAGAAACTGCTTTTTAGACCTTTTGAGCTTTTGCAAGCCGCCGGGGAGCTTGAGCAGATGTATTTGGCGACGGAGATGGGCTATCCCCGCCCCCTCGTACCGCAATGTTTTATTGATGGGATGATCGCGTGTGTGCGGGAGGGCGGGGGTCCGCCCGATCACGCGGCGCCGGCCCTCAACGCGCTGGCGGATCTCTTGAGGGTGGACCCCTCCCCCCCAATCGAGGGCGAGGGCGAAAATCATCTTCAGACGCTTCGAACGGACGTCATCGAGGAGCTCCAACGCTGCTTTGAGGATCTTTGGCCTTCCGGCGGGGGGTTTGTCCTCCCGCCCGTGGTGGTAGACGTGGAGGAGGAGGAGAAGCTGATGAAGGTGGCCTACAACGCGGCCGACCACGACGCCGGCGGGATTTTCACGCTCGCCGAGGTCGCCGTGCACCTCCAGCTGCGGCCCTATCAAGGTCTTAAAACCCCCAACACCGTTTATTGCTGTAATAGATGTCGGCGAACCTACCTCGAGCGAGTTTCCGACGTCATTTTTGAGTGCGCGCTCTGCCATTACAACATCGAGTTCGAGATCAAAACGCTGATGCCCTGCCAGCAGCGCGCGACGCTCTACCAGTGGGGCGTGGTCTGCAATTTGCTCGACGCCTTTTCCCTGTCCAAAAGCTTCAGCGTCCCTTTTTCCCCGGCGGCGTGCGGGTCGTTGTGGGGGGTACTTCGCCGCCTGCGCGGGCCGCGCCCGGTCTTTCGCTACGTCGAGCGGTGTTTGGCGGAGGGGGTGGCGGCCGTGCTG